CATATATCCACACCCTCCAAACATCGAAAACTAAAACTTACCCAAATACTCAGCCCAATAAAGTTTTCTGAATTAGTTTTTAAGTGTGACTTCTGTAACAAGTTAAGCAGAGTTGCGTCCCATATACTTACTCTGGTACTACATGTTTTGCAATAAAATTAGTAAACGGAAAAGAAACGAATGGAGTTTTACGTCCTTCGCAGCTCGTCCTACCCGCATAATAAAATTAGAAAATCGTTGAGATGTACGTCGTACCTGTCTGTTAATCAGTCACGGTGATATTTAACATAAATATTATATGGACGAGGAAATGAAATGAGTTTTACGTCCTACTTTTCTGCGCCATGTGGGCTAAGGAAAACGGCTTAAGATACGAGGAGGGGCAGACTGGCTCTATGGGGGTAGTTTTTGTTATCAGTATACGCTGGAAACGAACGTTAACTTGTCATCTACCTACCTACCTCAATGGACTGGCGGGGGAGGGGGATGGGGTCAACTGAATTCAAAATGCGACATCTCTGTGACAAGATTCTCGTGGAGTGTCCGTGAAGGTTCTCCATTGAAAATATTTTCGAAAAATGGAATCGATTTTGGGGCATTCTGACTCATATTTAGGGATAAAGCCACTTATTTGTTAAAAATATAAAATGTAAAAAGTGAGAGTACATTTTGGGGTGCAAACCAGCACCCCTCCCACTTTTGAAAGATTTCAGCCACCTTTGTTGTTTCTTAAAAAATACAATCATGTTATGGGAAATTTATGTATTTTGGTAATTACTTTTTACATTTGATTAAAACGTGGTATTCCATCTTTAAACGATTGAATAACGGTATTGTAATACGGCCCTGTGAATGGTGATATACTCTAACGGTAGTGTGGTATATGGGTTATAACCCCAGTTCATATACCACACTTAGATAATATACAATAGTCGAGTTGAATTAAAGGGATATAGCGATATATTTAAAGACATAAATAATATTTTATTGTGCTGTCAGAATAGGCTTGATTTGTCTGTATTTTCACTACTAAAATGATAAATTACGGGAGAAAAATTCATCGCCGCACCTTGATAATTTCTACACTGCCATCTAGATTCTTATCACGTGATTAATTCACATCCTTTCATTGGACGAAACTCCTTATGGACCCCCTGCATGGTCAAAATCATAACAAGCTTGTCGTTTTGCAGCCAAAATGGCGAACCCGAGGAAGTTTAGCGAAAAAATAGCTTTACACAACCAAAAGCAGGCCGAGGAGACCGCAGCCTTTGAAGCTATTTTGAAGGAAGTAAATTGCGCGACGAAGGTAAGCTGTTTAGAGAATTACATCCGATATTTATTGTCTAAAATTGTCGCTAGAAAAGTCGTCGACTGTCGCTTCCGACACAATTTTCGTGAAATTTATTTCTGATGTAAAAATGATTTTTCTTGTATTTCAGCCACCCGTTTACCAGAAACAACATTTACCTATTGCTCAGAATTTAGGGGCATACCGAGGAGGATCTTTGCCAAATGTTAACCAGATCGGAACGAACCAGGGGATTGATTTGCAGGTAGGTTTGGAGTCAATTTGACATTGCCCTAATTTCTACTCAGTTTACCGTTGTAACAACATGGCGGCCAAATTTATTAGGTTACGTGATAATAGTCGAGAATCATCGTAAAAAATTTATGTCTTTTCCTTTCAGACTGCATTGCAACATTTGGAGGATATGAAAACTGGCAGACAGTTGCTGGGAGAAAGGTTCCATCGTGACAGACAGCGACAGAATCAAACACATCGTCGTGGAGTTAATGTTGGGGATAAGAGAGTATCCTTTTTAATTGATCTTACTCAATCAGGTGTCTGGATTAATCAGTGGTTAATTGGATTAGATTAGATTATCCAGTATCAATATTGTGATGATTATTAAGGATCAAGAAGCTTCCTAAGGAGTTCATGAATATTCATGAGGAAGTAGACAGGGTTAACAAGGTCAGCAGGTGTCAGACCACTAACAGGTTAGTGTTTTTTAGGGACTCGAATTTGATTTCCCACAAGTTGCATATTAAGCGTCAAACTTATTTGTAGGGTTTTGAAATCGATGTCATATCTTCATTTTGTTCAACTAAAGTATGTGGTTTCTCGAAATGATATTCTGAAATAATACACGCTGAAATTCTATATTTAACCCAGAAGAACAGCAGTCATTATTTTTTTGTGTTAATTCCACATCACATGACCCTTTAAGGGACTTAAAACAATGAATTATCAAGTAGTGGAGTAGACCTAAGACCTCCAGAGATGCTGATCAGAGGGCCTTACATAGAAAGTGTTTCCACTGAGAATTGTAGCAGCTTAGAGCTAGCTTTAATGCCGAACGTGTTGCGTTTACTCTGATTCTAACTAGTTCCCTGAACGATTTTAGCCTCAATCACAAAGTCTCATATTATTGAGAACTCATGATGTACAAGACTACTGTTTAGACCAGTAATAAATGCAATAGACCGGAAAGACCAGAATGCCCCCTATTGCCGAACGAGATAAAGTTGGCGTTTCCACTGAGTAAAGCGAAAGCCGGCTTTAAACTAGCTTTCAGTTGGCCCCCTATGAATTGCCGCATGCAACCGAGCAGCAATTTGCCCTGTGGAAACACACGAAAGCTAGCTTAAAGCCAGATTGAAGCCAGCTTTTTCCCTCAGTGACAACACAGTTATGCAAAGAGTTTCTCGTTCTGAGGAGACAATTCTCAGAGGACCTGTGTGTTTGAAGACTGAGGATCTGAGATTGTCATTTAGGAATCCAAAACATAAGTCATGTCTGTTCAGAGAGAGGGGAAATTTTTTCTCATTGCAAACAGCATGGCATTTTTTGACAGCTGCCTTTATTCCAGTTAACCCATGAAGGGTTGGTCAATTTGTTGTCTGGTGATGGATTTTGTTTTAAGAATATCAGTTCATGATGAGATCAAGAAAAGTTCTCTGTTTGGGTTTTGAGTAAATCGAAGCTAGTCCTGATAAAACTTCACCTACAGGCACACTGAATGGTGTTTCCAGTCTTCATTAGGTGAATCTGGTGCAGAAAATTAGACGTCATACCTGAAGAAATAAGTCCTTAATTTCAATCGCAGAATTTTCACACTTTGCTTTCATCATATCTCTCAAACTGTGAACAAACATTTTATTAATAATTAAAGTCTATTAGTGAAAGAAAGGCGTTAATCGATGGAAAGGGTAGACCATTATGGCAGGTGCTAAATAAAACCAGGGATAACTTGGTTTAACACATCTTAAACTCTATATGTACCTATAGTTTTAATTATACTGTATATTGTTTTTATGTGCTGGGTTCTGCCAATCGTGCCACAAAACGATGCATATAAAATACAAGAGTCAAGGTACATTACCGCTATGTGGTTATTAATTAACACTTTATCTTCAAGGTTTCTATATATATTAATTTATAATTTTGTAACTGTGATAATGTCGTTGATAGGAATGATTAACGTCCGCAGTTCTATAAATAGTTTGTAATAATTTCAGTCAGGTCAGTGATATCAGTTGATGAAGACCTCACTTTTTAATAACATAAAGAATATCGTCCAGTATCGATACACTTACCGTGACATGTTGGTCACAAATGACATTCTGTTAATAGCCAGTGGAGACCCCAGACTCCCGAGACTGGGGGTACAAATAGAGGGTGAGAGGATAATTGTCGCGGCTGGATTTAAAATGCGCAACTCTATGGAGGCGTCATGTTGCAAGCCTCTCAAAGAGTGTCTGAAATGGTTCTCCAAAAAAATTTAAAGGCCCAAAGAATTTCTGACAATTTTGAGTTACCAAAAACATATCAAAATCTATATCTGTTTGATTTGTACAAAGAATCAATATCTGCTGAACTGAAGAAGATTTTGCTGGGGCTTAATTCTCACTTGTTGGGCCCAGCCCCCACCCTAAGGACAAAAAGACTGTGATCTCAATCTATGATGGGATTGCATCCCAATAGCATGGCCTCCTTTTAAAAAAAGCTTTAATATATTGCACTACTTGCAGTAGTAGAGTATAAACAATAGATGTTCTGGAAGTATAAACACATTCTGTCTTGCAAGTGACATTGGCAGTATATTATAGTACAGAAATAGAGTTTTAAAACAATAAAATTTTTAAATATCGATAAAATATCTATATCTACCCACCCTCATCCATCATATCTCCATGGTAACACGTCAACATGCTAATTTCTTACATATTTTAGTTATCTTATTTCAATTTTGGTTTGTGGACTTGTGTTTGTTACCTTATATGGCATTGAAGTTCTCAGTTTTTATTCAGGAAGTTTCGAGTTTTATTTGATTTCTAGGATAGTAGAATAGCTCAGTCGGTAGCGAGTAAGATTGTCGTCTTCTAGAACAATGGAATAGCTCAGTCAGTAGTGAGTTGGATTGTCGTCTTCTAGAACAGTGGAATAGCTCAGTCGGTAGTGAGTTGGATTGTCGTCTTCTAGGACAGTGGAATAGCTCAGTCGGTAGCGAGTTGGATTGTGGTCTGCTAGGACAGTGGAATAGGCCAATCGGTAGCGAGTTAGATTGTCGTCTTCTAGAACAGTGGAATAGCTCAGTCAGTAGTGAGTTGGATTGTCGTCTTCTAGGACAGTGGAATAGATCAGTCGGTAGCGAGTTGCATTGTCGTCTTCTAGGACAGTGGAATAGCTCAGTTGGTAGCAAGTTGGATTGCCGTCTTCTAGGACAGTGGAATACCTCAGTCGGTAGCAAGTTGGATTGCTGTCTGCTAGGACAGTGGAATAGCTCAGTTGGTAGCAAGTTGGATTGCTGTCTGCTAGGACAGTGGAATACCTCAGTCGGTAGCGAGTTGCATTGCCGTCTTCTAGGACAGTGGAATAGCTCAGTTGGTAGCAAGTTGGATTGCCGTCTGCTAGGACAGTGGAATAGCTCAGTCAGTAGCGAGTTGGATTGTCGTCTTCTAGGACAGTGGAATAGCTCAGTTGGTAGAGAGTTAGATTGTCGTCTGCTAGGACAGTGGAAGAATAGCTCAGTCGGTAGCGAGTAAGATTGTAGTCTGCTAGGACAGTGGAATAGCTCAGTTGGTAGAGAGTTGGATTGTCGTCTGCTAGGACAGTGGAATACCTCAGTCGGTAGTGAGTTAGATTGTCGTCTGCTAGGACAGTGGAAGAATAGCTCAGTCGGTAGCGAGTAAGATTGTAGTCTGCTAGAACAGTGGAATAGCTCAGTTGGTAGCGAGTTGGATTGTAGTCTGCTAGGACAGTGGAATAGCTCAGTTGGTAGCGAGTTAGATTGTGGTCTGCTAGGACAGTGGAATACCTCAGTCGGTAGAGAGTTGGATTGGCGTCTGCTAGGACAGTGGAATACCTCAGTCGGTAGAGAGTTGGATTGGCGTCTGCTAGGACAGTGGAATAGCTCAGTCGGTAGCGAGTTGGATTGTCGTCTGCTAGGACAGTGGAATAGCTCGGTCAGTAGCGAGTTGGATTGGCGTCTGCTAGGACAGTGGAATAGCTCAGTCGGTAGCGAGTTGGATTGTCGTCTGCTAGGACAGTGGAATAGCTCGGTCAGTAGCGAGTTAGATTGTCGTCTGCTAGATCGGACGCACTTAAAACCTGACTGTGATGATTATGTAAAATGATGTAGAATAGTTATTCAGTTGAATTAAACATGAAAAAGGATGGTTGTTATTTGTTAAGTTGTTTGGTACTATGAGATTATATCTTCTTAGAGATACAATAAATTCTGATATTGTTTGAATTGTAATCCTCCCCGTTAAAAATTCTACAGTATTGTGTTGTGGTTTTGATTTGATTAGATTGTAGTTTTGTTCTTACATCTCTTGTTTTTAGTCTCTTTCTTGAAACTTTTAACTGAAACTGTTATTTTTGGCATGGGAATAATTCCAGACATATAGACATAAAGCAAGGAATTTATTGTTTGGGGGCCAAGTAATATCCAGAGAGGCAAGTAATATACCCAGAGAGACAATGATGTATGATCTAGTTGAAGAAGTGAAATTGGTTGGTTGTAAGACTTTTTTCAGGAGGGCAATCAATTATCATGCATCATCAATTATTGATAAGAAAAACAGGAAATAAAATGAATGGAGTTAAAACGTCCTACTTTTCTGCACCATGTGGGATGATGAAGACTGGCAACGCCATGCAGGGTGCAATGAGGGACATTTTGCTAGGACAGCGGCATTATCTCGACCTATGCTGGGATCGAACCCTGGACCTTCAGGTTAGCGAGCATGAGCCACATCGGTTCATCTTTCATTGATAAGGGAGTGATTTAAAAGATGATGCTTTTATACAAACTTTCACATAAACTATTGTATTTATTTAAACTCAGTGATTGAAAACTTGACAGGCAGGTCCCCCCATCCCATCTCTCTAAGCCAGTATCTAAAACTGCGTGAAATATTGATAGGCAGGTCCCCCCATCCCATCTCTCTAAGCCAGTATCTAAAACTGTGTGAAATATTGACAGGCAGGTCCCCCCATCCCATCTCTCTAAGCCAGTATCTAAAACTGTGTGAAATATTGATAGGCAGGTCCCCCCATCCCATCTCTCTGAGCCAGTATCTAAAACTGTGTGAAATATTGATAGGCAGGCCCCCCCATCCCATCTCTCTAAGCCAGTATCTAAAACTGTGTGAAATATTGATAGGCAGGTCCCCCCATCCCATCTCTCTAAGCCAGTATCTAAAACTGTGTGAAATATTGATAGGCAGGTCCCCCCATCCCATCTCTCTAAGCCAGTATCTAAAACTGTGTGAAATATTGATAGGCAGGCCCCCCCATCCCATCTCTCTAAGCCAGTATCTAAAACTGTGTGAAATATTGATAGGCAGGGTATTATCTCACATTTACTAAATTAGACTAGAAATATTGTGAATGACAATGTGGTACAATGTTGTACAATGTTGTACATTGTTGTACAGTGTCAGCTTATATCCACTCATATGTCAACATGTCATGACATTGACAAGGTCAAAGGTCAAGGTTGAATATAGGTGTGTATTTAGTTTTGAAATAGATATTTCACTTGTTATGTGATGTAATTTGTTGAAAAGTTATGTAGCTTGATAGATGGATAAGGGTTACACAGGCAAATCTCTGGAGGCAAATATTTAAAAGGGGCTTAATTGTGTGACTCATTCAAGTCATCAAAAATTTCTTAGGGGGGAGAGGGGACAATGTTCAAATGTAATATTAGAAACATTGTACAATTTACAGAAAAGTACTAAATAGATTTGAATAGCAGCTATACTTTTTTTGGAACTTTGATTGATGTATGCATAATTCAGTTGAAATTGATTAGAGTTTATCTCATGCTGCCAACACACGTTTCAGATAAACAACCCTCATCAGGACAGCTTTATCTATTTTATATACATTATTTTAGTTGAAAATAAAAAGAGTTGGTGATTTGTTCTGGAAGAATTTCCTTTATGGCACACAGCATGGAATTGTTGGTTGGTTGCTAGATTTGAAACTTCTGCCTCTATTCCAGCCTCTGAAAAAAATAGGCTCTGTTTTATTGGGTTTTTTACACCTCCGAGTAATGCTTTTTTTTGAACATAATATTAAATGATATAAATAAAACTCTAGCATAGATACAACAATCTTTATCAAGCAAATGATGTTTGTGAATTAAAACATTACTTAAATTAAAGAGGAGTAGTATATCTATAATAGTATTTTATTTATATAATGTTCTATCTACTTCTAAATGTCATTCAAGGATTATAATATCCAATTACCATTACAATGACTGTAAATTAATGTTGGGCATCACCGTTTTGTTAGTATCATGTGACTCTGTGACCTTTGAACTTTTGGCTGCGCACACAGTGCACTTCCAGCAGAAACTGATATCAAAAATATCCACAGAAATTGTGCATCCGTAGCCCCATATAGTGCAGAAAATTACAATATAAACCTCTAATTCATAAACTTTTCTGAATTGAAGTATTTGGTTCATTCATTGTTTTCTAGTGTAGTTTTAAGCTGTATTAACTAGTGGTATTGTGGTGTGTATTTTTAGCCTCAGTTTTAGAGTAGATCGTTAATATTTTATGAGAGAGTAATTGAGATCTTATACTTCATGTTGTCGTTTTAAAGGATGGCAGTCAAGTAATTTTCACTTTTTCAAAAATGTGGAATTTATTCTGACAATTGAAAAAGATTATATAACATTAGATAATCTTTCATGTATATAATACTTCTCGTTGTTTTGAAGGATGGCAGATGAGAAATTTTCTCTTTTTCAAAAACATGGAATTTATTTTGACATAAAAAAAATGAAAATATTAAACATTCATTAATGTCGTATTTGATGTTTTAAAAGGGCAATCGATGGAAGATAAAATAATTAAATGAAATTAGACATACGCCATGTTCAGTTTTTATGTTCTGAGTTATTCGTACTAGTGCTGGGAATCGGCAATCATGACACAATATGATAAATATCACAATATAGGGTAATGGGATGAAAAAAATTAACACGTTATCTTCAAAATTTCTATATGTAATATTAATTTATAACTTTATAACTGTGATATTTGGTAATATAGTTGATAGAAGTGGTTAATGTCCACTGTCTTATAAATAGTTTCTATATATATTAATTTATAACTTTATAACTGTGATATTTGGTAATATAGTTGATAGAAGTGGTTAGTGTCCACTGTCTTATAAATAGTTTCTATATATATTAATTCGTAACTTTATAACTGTGATATTTGGTAATATAGTTGATAGTAGTGGTTAATGTCCACTGTCTTATAAATAGTTTCTATATATATTAATTTATAACTTTATAACTGTGATATTTGGTAATATAGTTGATAGAAGTGGTTAGTGTCCACTGTCTTATAAATAGTTTCTATATATATTAATTTATAACTTTATAACTGTGATATTTGGTAATATAGTTGATAGTAGTGGTTAATGTCCACTGTCTTATAAATAGTTTCTATATATATTAATTTATAACTTTATAACTGTGATATTTGGTAATATAGTTGATAGAAGTGGTTAGTGTCCACTGTCTTATAAATACTTTCTATATATATTAATTTATAACTTTATAACTGTGATATTTGGTAATATAGTTGATAGAAGTGGTTAGTGTCTTCTGTCTTATAAATAGTTTCTATATATATTAATTTATAACTTTATAACTGTGATATTTGGTAATATAGTTGATAGAAGTGGTTAGTGTCCACTGTCTTATAAATAGTTACTATATATATTAATTTATAACTTTATAACTGTTATATTTGGTGATATAGTTGATAGAAGTGGTTAGTGTCCACTGTCTTATAAAACGTTTCCAACAATTCAGTAAAGTCTGCGAAAAGAAATTGTGATTCTATTCACCAACTTAAAGAATCTCCACTTTTTAAGGAATGAGAGGTATTGTCAAGTATCGATACACAACCTAGCGATACGTTAGGATAACTGTGGAATGTTGTATCCCAATACATCAATACACAGATATATATCGTGCCAGCTCTAATCCCTGATAAATATTTTGCATCGCGTAATCGCGTTTCACCTGCACCTAAGATTTCTCTTGTTAGAATTTTGTGGTGTCATTTTTTTTTTTATTTAAAACTTCAGCCAGATGACTTATTCAAATAGTTCCACCTTAAATTGTGAAGCAAACATGCCGTATATGACAAATGACAGATTTGGAAAAATAATCATTAACTTAGTCACAGGAAATTTGGTCACAGTAATATGGGCACAAGGTCCATAAACTCAGCCATACATATTTCCTGTGACCTAGTTTAATGTTCATTATTCAGAAACCAGACTTAATTATTTGGAGGGGCAAGTTATATATCAGATGGACAATCTATTTTTTTCAGAGGTACAATCTATTTTTTAGTGGGGGCATTGCCACTGCCTTACCCCTTGTAGCTATGGGTCTGTTAATTGTTCAATATTAAAATATCTGACGTAAATATCAAGTCATCATGGGGTAGCCCATTATGATATATAACAATGCTATGTATAGCCACAACAATCCTAGGCATAGTTTACACTCTTATTCTCTCTCTGGGGAGCTAGATAGATGAATTATTGAAGATTATAAGACAGTCTTGGAATTCTTGTAACATTCTAACATTGTTGATAATTTCATTAATTATGGGTGGTGACGTAGATTTATTGAGACTAGCATTCTTTAAAAGTTTATGCTGCGGGCACACGAATTGCCATGGTTGCTGATTTATCTCACCAACACGAATTTTAAGAAAAATCTCATGTGCCCATGTTTCCAAGACAATATCATTGTGTTGTCGACAGGATTTATAATATCAATTTTTTGTCTCCAGCATTAGAGAACTATTCGATGTGAAAGAAACTTCCCGGGTGCTATTTTGGAGATTTTGAAAACAGAAATATTTTTCGATACCTTGCCCAATCATGTGCTGAAAAGTAGGAGATAAAAGTTCATTTCACTACATATCATTTCACCTAAATGCTTGTCAAATATTGAACTCAGCCCCCCCCCCCCACTTTGTTATCTGTTGACAAAACACACTTCCTGTGCACCCCCTGGACAATTCTGCCATCCCTATTCATGTCCCTTTCTTATGATTGATAGAAACACCACTGTTTTCCATAATCCATTACCTCGCCTAAAAACTTGGCAAATATTAAGCAAATATTAAACTTATTACTTCAGTTTGTGTGTAATTGAAGACACCTCGCCTAGAAGCTTGTCGTATAATGAACTCGTTACTACAGTTTGTGTCAGAAGTCTATACAATACAATAGAGTAGGAATGTAATCATACTGTAGAAATAGGTTGTTATTGTAGAAAGAAAGTAGGTCATGTTTTCTAGGTCAACTTGTATCAGACTAATGTACTGACTGATCTACTGTGTGGTCTATTGTGAATAATACTATTGCTAGGCTTGAGGGAGAGGTAAAAAAGAAAGGGGCTGGAGGGCCCTCTGGCTTTGGGGAGCTGTGTTGTTTTTAAATAAAATGATAGGGGGCTAATCTGGAAGAAGGAAGTCAATGGGAGACAGACTGAATTGTAATAGCTGGTCTAATGTGTGGTCTAGCCGAATAATATTTGATGGAGGCTGGACTTGAGGGGGTGCAGTGAGCTTGAGGGCTGGACTTGATTGAGGGGGATGAGGGTGTCTGACTTTTAGGTCAGTAGGATATAGGACAGGGAGTAGTGGAATAGGGGGTGGTGGCAGACTGGATTGTACTAGCTGATCTAAAGTGTGGTCTATTGAGAATGGGGTGTCTCTCTTCAGGGGGCTGTGTCAGAATGATCCAAGGGGTTATACTGGAAAGGAAAGGGAGGGGAAACAGGGCTGGTGAATTGTATTTTTTAGTTGATCTACTGTGTAGTTTACTTTTTTTTTAAAACATGAAAGTTCAGCAAATTCTAGAATATTCGACTTGACAAAATAAATGACAAAGTCAATTAATGTCTGCAAAAATAGTCAGAATTTCCTGTCAAATTTAGGGCACCTGCAAAAATGATCTGAAAGTAATCTTAGTGACCTGATCTCGTTATTGACCAACTTTCTATTTCTATTTTAAACTGAGGTCCGTGAGTGTATGACCTGGTTAGAGAGAGAGAGCACTGACAACTCGTTAAAGACGTGGCCACTGAGACGACTCGTGTCTTTAAGTCAATGTTGTCAACTCATTAACGCTATGTAAAGTTCGACTAATCCACCAGGGTTTAGAATTATTTGCAGCTATTTTTTTAAAAAAGATCTTTGAGGACATTTTGTTATTCGTCAATGTTGATGTTTCTTGTAAAAGACCGAATTTTTATTTTGAATTTAAGCCCCATGTGTAAGTTTAGGTTGCCACGCATAGGCTACTCTTTATTGGTGCATCTGATGATGATATTTTGTTGTCAACTTCGTATCTCTTTAGAGGGTTCACATAGTTGAAACTGTATTGAGGTCCTGTACCATGGAGGTGGAACTCCTTTTATGCCTATCTATCTTTGTTCATTTCATATCTCTTTAGAGAGTCTACATAGTTTAAACTATTTCTAAGAAATCGGTAAACAGAACACATGATGCTACACTGGGATTGATTTGTGCTTTTTTTTTCAGAGAGTCCACATAGTTTAAATTTTTACATCTCGTAGCATTGTTGTACAGTCGTTTTATTAAAAATCAGTAAATGAAACACCTACTGCCACTGTCTGAATAGTTTATCAACTTTACTCTCTTCAGAGAGTTCACATAGATTAAACTATATCAAGGTCTTGTATCATAGTTGTAGAGTAATTTAATAAAAAATGGTGTCAACATGTTTTAAATGATGGTATATAGAAAGTGTTGTGTTATTGATTTTCTCTAGCTTTGTGTTTTACTCTGTAATTTCTACTGTATATAGTAGGGAACTATAACTCTACTATAACTAGTTCAGTCCTTGCTTCACAATGTCAAGGTATTACAAACTCTATCCTTTACCTCGGAAAATCCCTCAGGATGCAAGATTTAAAATATCTTAAAAAAACCCTATGCCATGTTCTATCCTATACATAGAACTCTATTTCAACTATCAAATTGGGTTATTTTATCCTTTAAACCATTTTTTTTGATGAATTTGCAATATATTTTTCCTTGACCGTAGTTTTTAGGTTGACAGTTCACCGTATGGATCAACATATTTATCACCACCCCCAGATACCAGCTGGCGACGGTAAGTTACCTCCCCTATCTACTCAGATCCGTCAAGGGAACTCATATCTAATCTACTGGGAATATAGATTATAAATTGTATTATTCAAGGTATAGGGCCATGTAGGACTGTAGGAAATCTTTACATAGTGTTACTTTGTTACATAATATACTTTATTTAACCAGGGTATAGTTTAGAACATTGTATTACTTCAGATACATTGCCAGTATTCAAAGTGGAGTAATGCCTGTACAAAAACTTCACATAATGTTACATAGGAGTCAGTTCAGATCAAACCCCTGGGTAGCAGATTATTAAATTTTAATCCCACTTTTTAAAACAATTGTCTTGAAAGATATGTACTGTGTGTACTTGATTCTGGTATCTCAATAACATTTCACCCTGTACAATTTTTTAAGATTTCACACCTCATGGAACTAGTAAAAACTGTGCAGTCTAAATGCATGGGAATAAAGTCTGTCTCTGTTGTTTGTTTCAATCTGAGATTTTTAAAAAAATATTAGGAACAAGGTTCAAATGGGGGTGGGGAAAGGGGCTTGTTATAAACGAAATGATTTCCATTTTGATACAGTTTGCTTGAAATTTACAATTATTGCACAGCTTCCTTGCACTTTCCCATATAGTCAAATAATTCCTACTAACTATATACCAGCATCTGCACAAACCAATGGATTGTCCTGCATAGTCTTGAGCATAGCTTAGCATAGAGCATGTCACTCAGCATAGGATTGGTGATTAAAAACACAAGTACTAACAATACAGACAAAATCTATGTGAAGTGTTTGGCAATACATTCCTAGCAGCTAATGAGTTTTTCATATGAGGATTGTATCTATTATGAATGAGGAAGTATTTTTTTAAAAGGCAGTGGTAAGATTAAGCCTTGAACTCAGCAAATTAAATTATAAGTAGATGACACCAATTTACATATCAGAAAAAATACTATAAAATTTCTTCACAAATATTTACAATGCATTGAAAGTAGATTATTTAAAACAAAAAGTGTCACATCACATTCATTGGAAGTCATTTTAGAATTCTAGTCAGACATGACTGGCTGGCTTCTGGCAGATTAAATCAGCAAGGTTTTGGTGGATACTGTCTTGAGAGACAATTGAATATGTATTATGATTCAATCAATGAGTAAAAATAGAGATATTATTATAAGGATAAAGTAGTCTCCATGTTGGATGTAGGCCCTACTAACGATTTTTATTCATTCATTCATATTCATTCAATCATTTTCTTTCATTCAATCATTTTCATTCATTCATGTATTCATTCATTGATACATTCTGTTAACCAAGCTCGGAAGCAGACATATTGATTGATTGATTCATTCATTATTCATTCATCTATTAATTCATTCATTCATTCATCTATTCATTCATTCATTCATATTCATTCATTCATTCATTCATTCATTCATTCATCTATTCATTCATTTAGTCATTTATTCATGTATTCATTCATCTATTCATTCATTCATTCATTCATTCATGTATTAATTCATTCAATTTATCTTATATAGCAATTATAATTATTTTTTGCATATTTGAGTCACAGGGAATGTTGTGTTTAGATTTTTATTTTTTGATTTAAATTGAATGAATTTTTGATATTTTGGAGCACTTTTTATTTTTAGATATTATTAGATATAAAAATAGATATTATTCTTTTTCACGACCAAATTGATTCCAACAAAAAAAGTATTTTTCAACATTTCAGAAAATTATTTTAATAGTTTTTTGTTTTTGCATTTTGTTATTTAAACTTTCAAATTTTCTCTGTCAGAATTATGATATTGAATTTGTACTTTGTGGTATGACTGGTTTGGGTCGGACGATAGACAACAATATTTCGTGTATTTTTATCAACATGCATCTAAATTGCTTGATATAAATGTTTCATTTAGTTGAATAATTCCTTATAATTATTTTGGCGTCAGGTCAGATTTGATCAATTAATTCAAACACTTTGAACTTAGAATTTTCATAAAAAAGATAAAAATATAACGTCTGGAAATTTTAGAAAATTTTAGCCTGAAACCAAAAACATGTCAGAAAATGACTATATTTATAATTCTCTCAAAGGCTATTTAGTAAATTAAAAAACCAAATCACAAACAAACGACTTCTTTGTCTACATCTGGCAGCAATAGAATTTTCTGACGAAAGCAAATTGTTCCAAATGAACCAGGATACCAGTATTTTTCTCCGGTTATTTTTCAGTAATGAAGTCAATTTGGTAGTGAATCAGTCTATGTAGTTGAATAGTTAGTTTCTTTAAGAAAATAAATTATACAATGATATGATTGAAATAAATCTCAGTTTAAAGGGGCACCTGCTAAAAGGGATTTTAAAGATGGTGTGCAGACTTATTATGTGTATTGGAGACACTGTTACATTCGATTTGCACTATTCTTTTTTTCAATCAGACGTCTGTGGTTCCTGCAATTCCATTAAAACTAAGTGTTTGATAAAGTTACCATCGCAAAGATTTTGATATGATATAAGCAGATTTTGCGATAGTGACGTCATAAAATGCTTAGTTTAAGTGGAATTGCAGGAACCACAGACGTTTTACTGAAAATTAAAATGGTACAAATTGATGCTATCAGTATTCCCAATGCACATAAAAATATTTATAAAACTACTTTACAATCCATATTATTCTTATAAACTGTAATTACTGACAATAGAGAGCTGTAGGGTTGCTATAGTTATTAGATCAGACAGTAAACTAGTGCATTATGCCACAAACACTGCAAGTTAGGATACTCAACCGTCTGTGGTTAGGTGACCGGACCGAGCTGAAACCACAGGCCATTCTGTCACAATGTAAAATGATCAAAAATTAGAAAAATGTTTCTGGAAGAAACACCACCGTTGACAGTTGGAAATAAAAAATTTCCCTCATTGCACACTGCATGTTTCCACTAGCCTATTAAATGGCAGAAAATAAGCATGTAAGATCACCATTTCTTTAAGATAAATGACAAATAATACAAGCTTTTCAACAAATAACATTAAAATGAAAATTATAGGAGGGGTTTCTGTATAGAAATGGGGAAAATGTTGTCTCTATTCAAATTTTAACAAATAAGATAAAATTATTTAAATATTCTTTAGATTTCATATATTTTTTGGGTCAAATGGCCGGGGGTATTATTCTTAAAAACTCATCTTAAAATGAATATATTATTCCAGTCATCTGATTGGTCAATCATTAAAATTAATTATGAATTTAGCTATTTTATCCAATCAGATTACTGTATTTCTTAAAATCTGTAATTTGTAAGGCCCCAGAGCACTAAGTTACCATATCTGTATAAAGGAAGAGAGAAAATGTGGATGGCCTATCAATTCAGATTGTGACCATTAAGATGTGATCAGCTATAAGTCAGTAAGGACAGAGGTAACATATTATGTTAAATGTGACATAAGATAAACATTGTCGAGCCCTCGAGCAAGGTAAATTCAAGGTCATATATATATATCTACAGGCTACAGTATAGTAAGATTATTTCCCAATCTTTCCTGTTATTACTACCACATAAACTTCCCTCAAGGCTCCTCAACTTTTATTCCAACTTCAAATATCTTGATCCAGTTAGGTTTAAATATCTTGATCCAGTTAGGTTTAAATAACTTGATCCAGTTAGGTTTAAATATCTTGATCCAGTTAGGTTTAAATATGTCTTGATCCTGTTAGGTTTAAATATGTCTTGATCCAGTTAGGTTTAAATATCTTGATCCTGTTAGGTTTAAATATGTCTTGATCCTGTTAGGTTTAAATATGTCTTGTTTAAAAATGAAAGAATTAAAAAATAGCATTCAAATTTTTCATCAAAATTGAAATTAAAAAGCAAAATATCCATGAATAATTAAGACATATTGTTTTGTATATAATAAATACAAATACCGAGATTGTATAGCGTGAAACTTTGAGAAACATCAACTTGTTTTTTTTTTAGGTTTTGTTTTAATATTTCTAATTATAATTATTAAATTCATCATGGCCCTTTTAAAATTAGAATTTTACTTCAATCATATTTGTGCAATTTATTTTATTATTTTTTATTTTTGCTCCTTTTGCTTGCATTTTTTCATTTTTCCACCTTTTTTTTAGTTTGTTTTCTTTAATTTGCCTCTTTACAGGAATTATGCGTATCTAAACGGTACTACTCTCTCACGGTGAGTTCTATTTAACATCCCTTCCGCTTACCTCCCCTTACCCCACCCTAGACCCTTTACCACTAACATTGCACTCCATCACCCCCACCCCACCTGATCTCGCATCACACCCAGCCGTAACATGCTTGGTAGAGCTTGATTTGAAATGATTTGCTGTTTTTTTGACTAATATGTTTAGATTAATGCAGTATGAAGTAGCTAACATAACATTTTTTTTAAAAATAGGCTGTCCTGTGGGTGAAGCCGAAACACTGTCTCGGTTAAATTTGGGTCTGGGAGAGGTGAAATCATAGATTTTTTGACTACTCAGAGCCAATCACTTGTCAATGTCTCTAGAGAATATTTACACGCCTGTTGCGACAAAGCATACAGCCGTAGTTTTCATGAAAAGTTCTATGATAAAATTTAGACTTATGGCAGAATTAATTGTAACAGTTTTCCACAAACAAGGCCCAGATTGTATCCTTTTTCCATCAAACAAGGCCCATATTGTATCCCTTCATCAAAGAAGGCAATTTTTCTGTGAAACAGGGCCTAGTCAATTTTCACCCTTTCAAGTAATGGCCTTATTCCCAATCTCAGCCATTTCAGCCTGTACTTGGTGTTTACATGTGTCTCACAAGTACTACCTGCCCGAGCTCCAGACGTTAAGCCCCACCCCCACAGTAATTTGCCCAGGGATTGGATAGACAGGTGTTCCTTGTCTCAACCTGGGAACTTGTGCCCACTGCTTGAGTAATTTTTCCCTGCCCAGGATAAACCCCATGTGTCTCACTTGTCTCATCTCAGAAACTTGAACCCCACCCCTGGAAGTGATTTCCCCATATCCAGAAACAGGATAGACCCAGCCCATCAAAATTAAACCAGCCCCTAACAATGCATGTCTCTCTTTCTGAGTAAAATTCTATGATTCTTTAATTCTTCTTGCATCTTGGTTTAATTTTCTGTGTTTTCTTGGTTTAATTTGGTTTCCATTGGTTTCTATTTTTAACATATTGCATCATGGTTGTTACATTTTCATCTGGAGAGTTTTCAATCAATCATCATTTTTGAATTTTGAAAACGGAACGCCGCAGGCTTGCTGGCTGTTGGCTTGAGACTTTTTTCTCTTTCCAAGAACATCATAGCTTAACTTGGTAAATTTTACGAAGATATTTGATTGGGTTAGATTTTGAATTTTGAATTCTGACCAATCAAATGTCTTTATTTCACATCGCTTGGCGATTGTTAAGTTATGATATTTATGGCCTCAAATCTTTAAAATTTTTCAAAGCCTGCAAAATTCCAAAATCTGTATGTCTATCAGGGACACTTGTAGCTTCTATCTACACCATTCTGATATTGTGTACAATATTCAGGTCTCTTGTAATTTTAGAAAATCTTGACTATATTAGACGCATCTTACGCCATTATAGTTCACACAAAATGTTATAAAGAAGTCATAAATGTCCTTGATACACATACAAAGGGTAAAAATCTTCTGAATGCCTACAGCATCCAGTTCCAGAGCTCTATTTTGTTTTTAGTCAGACATGACTGGTGCTGAAGATGATCTCAACAGCTAAAAGGAATCAATTTAAGTTATATCTCTGTTTCATTTCAGGACTAATTCAGATTCTGCTCTACATACAAGTGCAATGGGGTTCCCAAATCAAGATTTAGGGCCGAACACACCCCCCACACATCGTAGGAGTAAGTATTATTTAAATTGTAATCAGACAAAACCAGAATACATCTTGACGTACCATTTTAAAAATTTTACAGCTTCCATTTTCATGAAAAAAATCTTCCATGTCCAGTGAAACATTCTTCATTATTTTAATCAACCCCAACCCAGAGGGCGACAGCCGACCCCCTCGCAGCTCTGAAAGGAACCTTTTTGGGAAAAAATCTCATGACTAGGTTAGAAATTCGGGCGATCTCAGATATTTCACCCGGCCTCGGACGTAAACCTGGCTCCGACACTGCTTATGGGTATGAATAATATTGGAAGGATTCTTGCACCAGCTGATAAACAGGATCATTGAGATTGGCATTAGCGTGTTGAAATAAAAACCCCAAAAAACCTGACAAAGTTACTAAAACTTGTATAAATATTTTTTAGTTGTAGAAATGGTAGAGAATTCAATACCAGAAATGCAAAGAGGAGGTTACTGGGATCCTAAAAAGGTTAGTTTGATCCCTCAGACTATTGATGTTTCTAACCACTTGTTCTCGAAACGATCTTAGCGCTAGGATATCCTAGAAACAGTGTTAGAAGATAAGAACCTAGGATATCCTAGAAACAGTGTTAGAAGATAAGAACCTAAGATATCCTAGAAACAGTGTTAGAAGATAAGAACCTAGGATATCCTAGAAACAGAGTTAGAATTTAAGACCCTAGGATATCCTAGAAACAGTTTGAGAAGATAAGAACCTAGGATATCCTAGAATCAATGTTAGAAGATAAGAACCTATGTATCCTAAAATCAATGTTAAAAGTTAAGACCCTAGGATATCCTAGAAACAGTTTGAGAAGATAAGACCCTAGGATATCCTAGAAACAGTTTGAGAAGATAAGACCCTAGGATATCCTAGAAACAGTTTGAGAAGATAAGAACCTAGGATATCCTAAAATCAATGTTAAAAGTTAAGACCCTAGGATATCCTAGAAACAGTTTGAGAAGATAAGAACCTAGGATATCCTAGAATCAATGTTAGAAGATAAGAACCTAGGATATCCTAGAATCAATGTTAGAAGATAAGAACCTAGGATATCCTAGAATCAATGTTAGAAGATAAGAACCTAGGATATCCTAGAATCAATGTTAGAAGATAAGAACCTAGGATATCCTAGAATCCATGTTAGAAGATAAGAACCTAGGATATCCTAGAATCCATGTTAGAAGATAAGAACCTAGTACATCTTAGAGCCAAGAGCGTTTCGAGAATACGTGGCCTGTACTCTCATATCATGTCCTGGGGTTGTTTGCTAGGCAGGGCTTTTTCTCTGTCAACTCAGCATCTCTTTCAAAGGAGCAATCTGGTTAATAATGTTGTTTTGATTGGTTAATACCACTCCTTGCATCAAGAATTGTTTATTCCATTTCAGTTGGCTCAATCCAGACCAAAATCATGTGAAGTTCCAAACATCAAGTAAGTTGTAGTCCAGTGATCTTTAAAAATGGATTTTTTTGTTTTTCTTATTTAGGTTTTATGATTTTTAGCAATTTGGGACAGACAAAGGTTTGCATCTCATAAGCTCACTAAGGTACATTTTATTTGCTCAATTTGGTTCAGAACAGTAGGACATAAAATTATTCCATTTCTATCAAGGTTCTTAGAAATCTGAAGGCCATCTACAATTTTTTCATCTCATTTTCCAAATTGTCTAATTTCAGCATCTACCCATCTCAAGAACAAGATACCGGTGTTCCTAACATACCCATTTCAAACAATACAGGCTCGCTCCCTGATCTTACAGTTCTCCATTTCCCATCACCCCTAGCAACGCCATTAGACGTAGACTCAGATCAACAACAACAACAGCAACATTATGGTAACCATGGGAACAGTCCAACGAGCCTGTCCCCCACCAGTCCTCAGTATAATAACATGTCACCCCCAGGACAGATTCAACATAATTCCCAGCAGAGTCCTGGACCGCGGCGACGCCCTGCTCAAGGCGTTCCTAGTCCACTCGTACTGAATAATGGAAATCATATGAACATGCCTCTTTCTCCTCCCGTAAGTTGCCGCCTTTTTTAAAATCTTATTGTTAGTTACCAGACACACTGCTGTAATCGTTACCTTTTAAAGCATTATTGGGGGTCTGGCCACTTTTCTTTTTTAAACTGAACGTTACTTACATGACACACCGGTACAGTTGCGCCTTTTTTTTCAGACAAACTAATGTATTTGTTTCCTCTGAAGCCATGCTTTGGTGTAGTAGGGCCATTTTGTAAACTAATGGTTAATTTGCAGACACACTTCTGCATTCTTTACCTTGGAAGTCTTAATCACAAATCTTAGTGTAGTTGGATGCTTTTTAAATATCATGGTTACCATGGAGAGATTAAAACCCTATACTGGTTATCTCTGAAACATTAAATCCTACTTAGAAACTTGTATTTCCAATTTAAAAAGGTAATGAATACAGCATGTACTGAAGGGTTGATATTTGCCGAGAAATTTCAAGATGACAGATTTAAAATGAACAATTCTTGACTTGACCTGAATATGACTTGTTGTTAATGTGGTATTTTTGTTGTATCTGATGCATGCATATAGATATTTTAGATTTCTCCTCAAATCCGAGCAATATTTATTGATTTAGAATTCCTTGCAAAGTTTGAAAAAATATTTGAAATGATTTGCATGGCTTAGATAGCTTAGTTTTTGAATTTTTGAAAACCATGTTGTAATTGACATTAAAAACCAGCTGTTAGTCAAAGATTTTTTATCTTAAAAAATGCAGTGGCAGTGGCAGAACTTTGGTTTTGGTGGGGCTACCACCAGTTTTTTTTTTAAATCCATTCTAGGGGGAGTCAGAGGAAAAAAATGTTTTAAAAAAAGGGCTGAAATTCAGCATTTTACTCAAATTGAAAGACTTTTCTTTCAATGATATTATATTTCTAGAATGAAAAAATGCATGTTACCACTAAAAGATTTGCTATTTTTGAACTTTTGGGGGTGGAGGTTCTGTCTTGGCCCCTTTCTTGGAGGTGCCACTGACCTTGATCTCATTTATATATGGAAATAATTCAAATTTGATTGTGTTGAATTTAGGAATCCTGAGATAGTTTTATTTGATTCTGTTGTTTTTGTTTATTTATTTAACTGAGTGTTTGGAATGCTGTCAGTGATTTGTTCAATCAAAGGAAAAAAACTATGATGTAAAACTCATATCTTACGTATTAATTGAAGAATTAAAAAAAAATTCTAAAATCTTGGAAACTTTGAAATTTAAAATCATGAAAATATTTTGAGACTTGCAATAAGGGAATTAAAATATTTGACAGGTTTTTTTATTTATCAGTGATATGTAAAACGGTACAAGTTGAAGGTTGATATGTCTAAGACATCATCTTTATAAGCTATACATATTTATATTGATCAATGTATACATTGTAGTACAATGTTGTATATCAATATATTAAATAAACATGGAATATGAAACAAAACCCACTTTAAGTGGTGTACATGATTACTAGAAAAATTATATAATGTACTTCAAAAGTACATAGAGATAAAAATTTGTCTTTTATACAACCATCTCCAAACTTGTAAGAAAGGTATCTTTTTAAAGATATTTTATAAAAGAAATTGTTTTGAAAAGCATTCCAGACTCTGAGTAAATTTTTTTTGTATTTTTGAAGTAGAAGAGATAAATTCAATAGAAATCTTCTTAACCCAGTTTCTAAAAAATAAAAAAAAATGGCATTGAGTATCGTTAACCAGATTCTTAATAATTTATTAACCCTTTTAACACTGGCTGTGACAAATACTGTCACAACTCTATATCCTGTTCTGTGGTATTTCTGTGAAACATTAGGTGACCCAGAATTGTCAAAGGGGGCTAACAGCCCAGGCAAGGATAAATTCTAAACTAGGGGATAGGGGAGGGCAATTAAAAATCAGTTCAAGCAAGAATCTCATCCAAAGTATGGCAAAATCAAGAGAAAAAGTGGTGTAGTAGTGGACTCCTTGTTTAGTAGTGTTTTGAAAAGAGTAAGCCTGGTCTGCTTCGCGCGCGACACCTGCCACTACTACAATGGTAAAAAGTTTGGCCAGACTCATTTCTCAGGAAATATGAGGGTGTCTGAGGATTTATATATATCTACAAGGTATTATTGGGTAAAACTAAAAGCCAACACCAGGCCTATTTTTGAAGCACTGACACAGGCATCAGATTTTTTCCTTGTGGAGGATTCCAACTCATGGCACCAAATCACCTAGCAGACGACAATAAAACTCGCTTATGACTGAGCTATTCCAAACAAATAAAAATTGTATTGAATAAAACGACAAGAGTCTTTCAAATAAAACCATTGTCTTCTAAATACAGGAAGTCTTCTTCAAGTAGTTTTATGTAACAGGGTTTTTATATGTGGGTCATGATTGCCAAGGACTTGAAAAAAACCACTTGTTGACATAAACAAAAAAAAGAATTGAAATTGTGGAACATAGGAAGACTCCCTTTTGTATATACCGGTACCTGGTTTTAATTTAACCATTTGGGCTTAAATTATAAGAAACCGAGGCCGTGTGCTACAGGATGTACACGTTAAAGATCCCTCGACAGTTGGAAATCAAAAAAGAGCAGACTAATGCCACTGTCCTGGTAAAATTTCCCTCAATGCACCGTGCATGGTGTCGCCCGTCTTCATTAGCCTACATGATGGAGATAAGTAGGATGTAAAACTCCATTCATTTCATTTTTTTAAATTATAATGAATATTCAGATTTTTCTATTGAATTTATCTCTGTTTTGTGAGTATTTTGATTTATTGTATATAGTTAGTTGTTGTAACATTGTTCTGGTTTTAGGACGGCAACCTTGACCCCAGTCAGTTACCAATGGAGCCGCGTATTCGTCAGCAATATATGTTACATCACATGTACCAACGTCATCGGAGTCCTGGTTCTCAAACCACACATCCCCGTCATCACACTCCACATCGCATTTTACATAATCATCATCGAACTACGTCACATGGCATCACGCGGACATCACCCACTAAATCTACCACGCCACCAATCGTGCCCAGAGTTCAAATTACAGGCTGCGATCAGCAGGACCAATCACAGGTCAGTATGGGTGAAGGGGAAACTTTCAAAAAAACTCTTTGAATTTCAATGATATTAAAAACTGGAACTGAATTTCCCTTAGGCGCATTTCTCAATAATTTAAAGATGATTTAAGTGTCTGTCATCCGATTGGTCAATCTCAAAATTGATTTTAAATTTAATGTTATTATCCAATCAGATTACTGTATTTCTTAAATTTTGGATGTAAACTTGGTTAAGTAATGAAGAATACGCTCTTGTTTTGAATTTGATTCAAAAAAATGTTCGAAATTCATTAAAGCATTAAATTCAAAATCTCTCAGAATATAAGCCTTGGAAGGGTTGGAAAAGGAATGGAAAGCTTCACAAGACACAAATAAGGGCAGTGGATGATAAAGGAATGGACAGCGTGACAAGTGAAATGTATTTTTGTTGTTTTGAATATTGTATGACAATAGTAATATTTGTGATTTGTAATTTGTGTTTTTCCCCTACCCCAATCAAATGTTTATTTTGCTTTGCATGATTTTAATTTTAGTGCTATTGTTAGTGAGCCTTAGAATTTAGACATGTTAATTCCAAACAAACAATTTCAGCGATTCTTTTTTCAATCTGAAACAAAATAGAAGACAATTAGGACAAAGCCTAGGCAGTGACTGAATTTATCATGGTACTCTTCAACTGGGTTTTATCATCTTGCCATTCATTTCAGAGAGTTCACAGAGCTAACTCAAATATGAATAAATAATTGTTACTACCAAATTACTGGACTTTTTTTTGAGAAAAGAAAAGTTTTGATTGTTTAAGGGAAACTGGATTGACTCAGCAAGTTTGACACTTGCTTGACTATCTTGAGAACTGATTTTCATTCTGGCCTAGGTCAGCACCCACCTTCTTGAACTGAAATCAAATGTGCTGTGGATTTTCAATTTTCAGAGTTGAGGCATCTTTAACATGAACAGGAGGCTTTGGTTCATTGTCTCATCCGAATGACCAGACACTTTCCATGCATTCTCTTAGACCTGCTTCACTAACAGGAGAAAGCCAAGTGAAAAATCTGGGACCTTCAGGTTAGAGCGCAAGCGTCTAACTCACTGATTACTTACTGAAAAGTAGGATATAAGAATTTAAATTATTGTATTGTATTTCAGCCATCAATGACTCAATATAGAAACAGCGTAGACGGAGGTTGTCAGTCTCCTACATCACCTCTGTCACAACCTTCGTATTCACCTGCTCAATCTCCTGGTCTGCCCCCCGTCTCCTCTAACAACGGTTCACCCTTCGCGGAGGCTTACTACGTTCAACAGCAACAACAGACTACAGCTCTACAACATCAGTTTGAACATTTTACTATGGTAAGATTTGACGTAAGCAATTCCCTGTTAATATCAGTTTTCATTCTTTTTCTTTTTTTAAATCAGGCTTCAAAGTTATTTCAAAACCAAACCCAGCTTTTCATCCAATCAGCATTGGCTAAATTTTCTAGTAAGTGACTCACTTAATGGTTAAGAATTTCATAGTCACATGATATTTTTAAAAACAGCTAGGTTATAAGTTAGATCATGTCAAAGAGAATTTCAAAATTGTTCTTGGTAATTGTACTTGGTAATTGTACTCAGAATTGTACTTGGTAATTGTACTCAGAATTGTACTTGGTAATTGTACTCAGAATTGTACTTGGTAATTGTAAAAGATCCACCTTTCAATTGTTAACTTGATATGAAGACAATCACTTCAAAATAATTCAAAATAGTCTTCAAAATTTGATGTCATTTTGTAAAACAAGATTGTTCTCAAGAAAATCAGAAAATGTTTACAAAAATAACACAACCTAGTAGATTTACTTTCAGTGCTTAATCATTTTATCAAATAATGTTTTTGGAAATTTTGTTGTCAATCCATTTAAAATTGGTCATACAAATAATTTTCCTTAAATCTTTAACTTGTTTTTGATGTTTCTGATAAAATATGGAGCTATCTTTGAGGCCTGATGTTAATTTTTACCTGTTGTTAACTTTTACCTTTCCTATAGCTTTAAAATGGGGTTAAACTCAACCCGAAAACACTTGATATAGTGAGAAATTTTAAATTATGGGTAAATTCATCTTCACTATGTCAAGCTATTACAAACCTTGTACTTATACCTTGACTACAATAGCCACTATTCTTGTATCATTGAAGATTGTAAATGAAGCAATTTGATTGGATTGTACGCTAGGGAATACAACCAATCAGAGCAATCAGAGGCCTCTACAGAAAGTCTGTGAAAAAAAAGCCATAATGTTTACAGTCTTTTCAGTCAAGGGCTCTGATTCGCTAGCGTAGAATCCAATCAAATCGCAGCATTCCGACAAGTATATTGTCAATTGTAGTCAAGGTATAATTACGAAGTTTGTAATAGCTTGACATTGTGAAGATAAAGTTTGTAATAGCTTTACATTGTGAAGATGAAGTTTGTAATAGCTTGGCATTGTGAAGATGAGTCAAGGTATAAGACAATGTTTGTAATAACTTGATATTATGAAGATGGGGTACTATATTATATAATTATATGTCCTGTGTTGAGTTTAATCCTATGTATTTGTATAAGACATTAGAAAAGTAAATATTAAGAGTATGGGTAGAATAGATCTCGTTTGTCTGAAAATCGGTTTTGGGGGCTGGGGTAAATTCAAACTTGATTTTGGTATAAAAATGATCAAGCCTCAATCGAGTTTTGAATTCAACTTTTGACACCTCAAAACTGTATGCATGTTAGTGAAGACTGAACCGCAATTGTGCTGCCTAATTTATCAATTAGAAAGTATTTACAAATGAAGTAAACTTATAGAACAGTTGTTAAAAACAACAAACCGCCTACAGAAAGATATTTGCAACTTTTAGTTCAATGAATTCAAGAAACCAAATCCTCGGCCTAACAAATTACTGACCATAATAATAGCTTGTTTGTTGAAAGTTAACTAAATTAATAATTTTTGAAAATTATAAACAATTCAGCTTTTCTCTTTTTTCTGTTTCTACTTTAAAATTTACTGGCCGAAATGCACCAAATAATTTAAATGCGCTATTTGATTTACAAAATGTTACACCTTTTAAAACTAAGAATCCAAAGGAACTGCCCTCTGGATGCTTTTGGAATTCTTTTTTTATGAGTAGATGTATAATAGTCCAAACGTTCTGAAATATTGTTTGGTGCATTCTGGTCTTTTTAACATGACAATATTTAACCAATGAAATGTTGTTATTGCAGTCACATGATTTACCTAATTCCACAATGGTATCGCTATCATCATCGTTGCCCAATTCAATGGTTTCCCCAATAACTAATAATACTTCCCAGTCATATACTCAAGCCTGTTCTCAGAATCTTACAGGTAAGATCCGTTAGTTTGCCTACTCTTTTCGAATGTTTTCAATCCAATATTGGCAATTTGACCCTCCATTTCTAAAACTAGCTGTCCTGATGAGGATTATGTATCTGAAACATGTTATCATATGAGATGAGCTCTAGTCAATTTGCTAACAATAAAACTTCACCCTCCATTTGCTAAGCTTCAAAGAATTTTTATAACTGTATATATTACAAATGATTACATAATAATATTCACTAGTAGTTTATACAGCTAACGGGAATCATGTTTAAATTCAACGATGGAATTTATATAAACCTTACTCACGCCTTGTTTTTTATACACTGAAAGTGAGGCTCAAAACGCAAATTATGTCATCTATTGAAAAGATGGCGATGTTAATGCTAAAGAGAACGGAGAAGGAGGCTTTTGCGTTACGAGCCTCGTTCCGGATTCAATAAGGTCTATTAAATTTCATCCAATAAACATTCTGCCGTTTGGTTCAAGCCCCATCTTGCTAGCTTCATGTAAATCTTGTATTTTTCAGGCAGCAATTCAGATTTTCATCAACGTTACTTCCAGCAATTAGAAAATAGTTTACAATCACAAAACATATCATCTCATTTGTCACAGAACAATCCGATTCCTGACATAGTGCTCACTGGTAAGTTAGGGTGGGGTTGAGGGTCAGGGAGGGGCAGGGACAGGGACAGGCCTGTAGCCAGTCTTGATTGTCTGGAAGGTCAAGTGATATATCCGGAGGGACAATGGTGTATGGTGTTTAGTTGCAGTAATGTAATTGGTCGTTTGTCAGAATTTTTTCAGGTGGGCAATTCATTTTTTGGGGGGGGGGGGGTCATAGAACAGGGACAGTATTAGAGAGCTACCTACTATTTGGCAAACCCTTGTCTGAAAACTTCAAGATTTGGGCTGAAGACACGTCAGTGATGTCTTTCAAAGCTCGAGAATCCAAAAGCAATTTTTTTCATTTTAGGTGCTGACGATATATTGGGTCGTCCGCATCATGATTTTGCCAAAGAAATCGGAAACGCCATAATTGGTATGACAGACGGATTCGATACAGACTTTTTCTCGGCAGATGAGGCGTTTAAAGCTGGATTAGATCCCTTGGATTTGGATGGATTACAAATGTTGACTGATCCCAGCATGGTTACCGACCCAGCAACAGAGGATTCCTTTAAATTAGATCGTTTATAGATTGACGGAAGGCGTAAAATAGAATGCGAGCGTGTGCTGCTATCCTGACCTTTGCCCTTTGGTGGAAATCCTTGATTCGAAGCCCATGGTTGACCTGCTAACAAATATTTTTTTGTTCGGTTTGAATATGAATTGAAATAACTTGCTTGGAGCTTGCTTTTTTGGCTGTTTGGTTTCATTCCCCTCGTAATATTGTTCGGAAGGTGAAAAGGGAAGTAACTCTACGTTTCGTCATGCGATACCTCGTTCCGGTTGAGAGATTTAATATAATATGTTGTTTTGTTGTTTTCATAAAAAAATAATTTAACGTTTTTTTTAACTCTTATGTGACCTTGACACTAATGAAGTTCGCTCATATCTCAACATAACTCGTCCTTCAGTCGATTGGATGAAAATTCGGCTTTAGTGCTATATATAGAAACATGACAATAATGGTCGAAACGGTGACAATTACACATCCGCCATTTTTCCTTGACATTCCATAACATTTGATATCATCATTAAGCAGCTAACTGATTGGACAACTGCTGTTTCCATGGTAACAAAGAGGAGATAACTATGATTGAACTAAATGACATTATTTTTACTATCACGGTTAATATGTATATTGCTAGCATACAAAGGGACATTACTCTTTTTTTTTTTTCATGTAAAATATTCTAGACTTAATGTTTATTGTTGATCACTTGTAAATTTTACCCCCTTTTTGCTGGTGAATTTTATCATCCCATTTTAAACTTCATTTTCAATTTCCAATCTTTCAATCTCACATATTTTATATAACGAGTGCTTTATTGCTGGGTGCTAGGCAACATGGTGTTTCGGTGATTGTGCTAAACGTGCTTCGTTTTTAGAAATGGCTGATGTAGGTTACAGGTGACGCGAAAAAATGACCATAGAGAAGAATAGATGGCATGAACTTTCTTATAAGACTGGTCCTAGAAATGCAAGTTATTATGAAAAAAATGGCCATAGGGAATTCAAAATGTTGGATAAGAAAAATTTCCAATAAGATTTCAAGATGGATGAAAACTACATCTTGTGAAAAATTGACTAAAGAAAATTTAGATGTTTCAAAAAATGGCCATTGAGATTTCAAGAAAAATTAATCATTATACTTTGAAAAAATGGCTTAAGAAAACTCAAGTTACTATGAAGAAATGGCCAAGAAAATGCAAGATGTTATGAAAATGGCTATGGACCATTGAAAATTTAAGATATAAGTTGCATTATGGTTGTATTAATTGTGAAAAAATGGCGTTAGGCATTACCTAGGATAACAAAGAAAGACTCTCGTCAATGGAGTGGAATACTATAATCTTCATCTGGGCTATTAGACGTTCAATTGGAAAACTTTCTTGAATGATCTCTGTATATTTTGAATAGATTTTATACACAGATTGACATGTTAAAACAACCAGATGAAATTTCAATTTCAGATGAATATTCAATATTGAGTCTTTGTCTGATTAAAAAAGACCATTATGGTGAAAATAACAGACTAATGAATACTAATGAGGCCATATTTCAAAAACATCTTGCAATAAAATCTGCATTTGGCATTTTGATGAAAGTAAACAATATGGTTAAAAATAAGTTACTGTTACAAAAACTGATCCCAAAAATATATCTGAAGTTAGAAGAAGATTAAAGATGGCTTGCACTATCAGGCACTACTAATAATTTTTAAAATTAACTCCAATTGTTGATATTTTGTTAATGTTGTCTTTGTTAATATTGTTGTTGTTATGGAAACGTGTGAATGAATTTTTCGAGTGATTAATCGTGCTAATATGATGTTTATTAAGATTAGAATATAAATTAGGAAGTTCGTGTTATTTTGTCTTCTTTGTGATCATTTTAGCTGAAAGAAACTATAATTTAACGTGGACCTAACTCACTGATAATAAGAGACAGATATGTAGGGACAATAACTGTTATTTCTACAACTCTCAACTACACGTGAACGCAACTGATTTTTTAAAATGACTGATTTCAGTGTAAAAGAAACTAGGCGTGAATAAGGTCTGTTGTCCACGGAATGAGTCAATACTCTACCACCAAGATATCACAAGATGAAAAAACGAAGAAGACAAGATAATACGAGCTTCAACTCATTTGTTAATTAGTGAAATTTTAATTAGATTTATTAAGATCCCGGTTAGATCGAGAATTTTTACATAACGCACAAATTTCTCCTCATGCCTTCCTCCATTTTATTCAAATTGAGGGGTGGCTCTTAATTTTTTATATTATTTGATAAAATAAGAAAATATTCATTAACTTTTGCTGATTATTTGATGGACTCATTATGATGAGAATTATTCATAATTTTTATAATTCATTGCAATTTTGATAACTGCAATCTGAACTGAAAATTGAATAGACTATTTCAATTTTCTCCTGAAGAAAAATTTCTCCCACTGACGTCTGATATTGGAATTATAATATAATACTAAGTCACATACTATGTCTGATATCTGATGTTACAGTGACGATATTTAATACATAGTGTTATTAAAGTGATTATAAAGAGGTTTTTTAAATTTATATGTGTATTTGGACACTGATGGCATAAATTAATTGTGGTTCCTGCAATTCCACTAAAACTAAGTGTTTGATGACGTCATTAATCACAAAGGCCTTATGTGATGAAGCATATTTTGTGATTAGTGACGTCATCAAACATTTAGTTTTAGTGGAATTACAGGAACCACAGACGTCTGATTAAAATTGGAATGATGCAAATTGATGCTGTCCCCAATACATATAAAAATTTAGAAAATCTCTTTAAGATCCCTTTAACTCATTAAGCATGTATTGAATATGAACCAAATTTAAGTTATCATCCCAAAAATTCACCAATATTTTGAAGAATGTTTGTTGTTTTGTCGAGGAAAGTAAATTGTACATAAATTTCATCTTTCATCCTTCATCAATAAAATGAATCTCTTTTAATCTTTGATCAAATGTAAGGAATTTTTTATTTTACAAGGACAGTGGTGTTTCAATATGTGTCACCCATCTTCATTAGACCATTAGCTTCAGAACTGTAGGACATAAAACTACATTTATTTCATGTAATTGTTATTTTACAATTAACAGTTATGTTAATCATTTTATGTTAATTAAGCTTTCTTACTTAAGATAATCATGAACTTAATTTTAGGTCATACTTCTGCTAAATTTCCTTATATTCCCTTAAAAAAATAACTTCTAACTCTTTTTCTTAGATTTTTCCCAGCAAATGGGCTTTTTAACTTGAGACCTATAAAGTCCAAAACAACTTCTAAAAGTTAAAGGGACTTTCAAATTATAAGATTTTAATTCAAGTTTTTTTCTTCTTCTTTGTTTTTGATATTGAAATTTCTTAATACCTTGAGTGTCAGGTATTACCGTAATATCTTTAAAACGCGACTACTCATTAAAACTCCAAAGATCAAGATTTTTGATCAACTTTTTTTTATTTGTAAGAGTTTACAATTTAGGAGAAACTTTAAAGAAGATTTTGTGTGTTTTAGTTAAAATGAGATATTTATTTAAATTTGTTGAATTTTATTGTAAGAATTTAAGTTTTAGAATATTCGGTGAATGCTATTTGATTATAGCTATATATCTTGATGTCATGAAGGCTTGTTACTTTTTCCATCTTTCAACTTTGTAATTCATTAGCTATGTGGACTCTCTAGAACTGTGGTGAAAGGGATTTTGATATCCAAACTCCAAATAAATATTACTAGCTATGTGGACTCTCTGAAGGGGGTATTGTTTCGGGGAATCAAAATATAAAATGAACATTGTTGGCCACGTAAACTCTCTGAAAAGAAGTTGACAACTGTCCACTTTTCTAATCGAGAAGAATCTCATTACACACTTCCAACAAATGGTTTGGATACAAATCTTTCATCAGGACAGCAACAATGGAGGTTATCTAATTTGGGTCTTCAGGTTGGTAGAAATAAAGTAGTTGAACTCACTGAATTAAAGTTGAAAGATGGAATAATTAACAAGTTGATGATAAATGAAGAAAAATTGTAAATAAAATAAAAGAGTATTTATTTAATATATTACAGGAGATAAAGAGTTATTAACAAAATAAAATGTTATAATATATTCTATATCATCTTGATTAACAAAGGATCTACGAGTCTTTTCAATTTGAACCTTTGATTTGATGTTATTTCTTTATATCCAGATTAAACCTTTTATCAAGAAGTCTGGGCATTTATTTTCCAAAAACTTCATTTTTTTAAGAAATACAAAAATCTGATTGGATAAAAAACTAAATTTAAAATCAATTTTAGTGATTGACCAATCAGATGACTGGAGCACTAAAATCAATTTAAGTCAAGTTTTCAAGAATAAGACCTGTGATAATATTCTACAAGGTATGAATAAACAAGGTTTGGTGTGGGATTATCTGTACAGTAGCAGATCACATCTGGACGCTTACCATGTGTATGCTCTACTTCTAATTTCTATGAGTTTCTGTGTTGATTTAATAACAAAAAGAAGTGTATTATGTCTTCATGGATTGTAGATAGGTACCTTGTTGATGATTTACTTCTTCTATTTTATACTGTATAGATAATCCTGCATCGTACAACAAACGGAAACTCGTTGAAACTAGTAGTAAATCTTGTCCATACAGTTACTTTGTGTATTTGCTTGTAATACTACTGTATAGATAATCCTACAACGTATGCAACAACATACCGTTACGCCACCCCAATGATTTAATCAAATTTAGTGATGATAACATGAGCTTAGTGTATCAAGAGGCTAGAATTGGATAGACTCGTGAACCCTTGTTTAATCAAGATGATTCTTTAAATGATGTATTTCATTTTCAATTTAAGTTTTATAAATGAAAGATATATGATATGATTTGATGTGTCAAATGTAAAATGTTAAAATTTGAATTCAAAACTTTTCAGATTGCTTTTTGAAAAGTGATACAGTTGGCTGCATTTGAGCTCTATCAGCTGGTTATGCTGCGGATACAGGAACAGTCTTTGTCGCTGACATGACAAGATTTATGATATCAAACCAGTCTATTGTTTTATTGTCTGAAAGACAGGGCATCTGAAGATTTCTCAGTCTCCTTGTTTGCCAGCAGCCAGTTGGAGAAACTCTTGACAAGACTCTAGTCACAAAAATTGCCAACCAAAAGTGTTCGTGTACCCGCAGCATAATGTATAGGCTTCTCTATTGTTTTTTAATATTTAAACCTCAACATATGCGGTATTTTCGAAGCGAAAAAAACCTCAAAATTTCACTGTGTATAGTATGTACCCTTTTTGTAAGGGGTCCATTTTGGGGTAAAAAAAAAAATTCGCATTATATTCGGAAATATACGGTTAACTTCGAGAGTATTTAAATTAAACTTTGATATTTAATATTGCTTTTTGAAAAGTGATACAGATAACTGAAACTGAGATATATCAGTTTTTCAAATGTTTAAACCTGGAAATTATAATATATTAAGATTAATATTGTCAAGACAGTTATTATACTGACGTCATGTCGTCACTGTTAATATATATATAAACTGACATCATCTTGTAAATTCTGTCATCACCGTTTCCTCTCTCTCTCTCTCTATATATATAATTACATCATGTACTTCACTATTAGTCTCTTTTGTTTTCTTTCTAGAATATGTGAGGGGATGGGGCGGGGGAGTAGGGTTAGAAGATGATAGCGGTTGGCAAGGTGGGGGGTCATTGCTCGTAATCTATACCTATAGTGTAATTGTCATTTAAACCACGCCCACTTATCAATAAAGATGTTGTGTGCATCGTCGCTTTAACACCTCCGAAAATACTTCTAGTCTGTCCTTTACTATTGCAGATGGAGGTAGTAAATGTCTCGTGATTTTAATAACAAGCCAATCAACACATACAGTTGGATTGAACTTCACTGCCTTATACAAAGCTATTTAAATATTGTAAACCATGGTCCCCTCACTCTTATCGTTTATTGATGACTGGTGTGGTTTCCGTTACAATGGACCATACACAAAATAAGATTTTTCCCCCTACTGATAATTCAAAACCCCGGTAAAACCCACACCCGGGTAATCTTGCTCCGGGTCCCTGAACTGTATAAATAGAACTGTGCATGGTGAGTCTAATCAGTCTAAAGTGTTCAAACAAACGAAAAACCAGTCACTGATAATCAGGGATAACTGGTCGCATAGCCAAACTTTATCTCTTATATCATAATTCAAACCCTTAGCAAACATGTTAAAGTCATAACCTAATTGTAAACTGAAGGATTTCAACCACTGTGATTTTAAACCTACTCAGATGCTAAATTAACGTATTGCAGTGACAGATTTTTGATTGTCAGCAAAATCAAACGAAATCAAATCAAAATTTAAAGCATTTAATTATATTTATTTGGTTAATATATATATATACAATTTACAATATATTTTACAATATTATACATAACAAAATTCAAGTGGTTTCTGAGCAAAATATAATTACCAAACTTCAAATAATTTTAAATTCACCAGAGATCACAGTAACTTAGCAAGTGACATATACTTGGTATTATTTTCAATCTATGGTCTTTTTTTATTCGGGTTTCGTGTTTTTGAATTCATGCACAATGTCAAGTTATTGCACAAACTTCATCTTTTACTGTATTAGTTTGATATTGTGAAGATTCGATACAATATCTGATATCACTCTGATTTGCTTTGCCACATTGGCATCTCAAATAGAAATTCAACACATGGCTCAAATGATAATTTGACATCTATTTTAGAATGAATATAAATTAAAATTATGTAAGTTTTCCATAATATTACAATAAATCCAATCCACAAGTATTAAGTCGAGGAACAGTTAGTATCAATATCACATTTTCAATGGCACAATACAATAAAATACAACCATGATATTTAAAGGTTTTTAACATGAAAAACATTCCAGTAATATACAATTCATAGATAAAATAGAAGTTTTAGTTGAATTTGACATTAAATTATAATGACCAGGCTGTGATCTTGGTGCTAGGATGTCCTTGGCTCCTTTCTTTTAACGCTGATTCTAGGACATCCTTGCTATAAGATCATTTTAAGTATACACAGCCAGACTGTGATTCTCGAACCAATCTTGGTGCTAGGATGCCCTTTGCTCTTGTCTTTTAATACTGATTCCAGAAAATCCTTGCTTTAAGATTGTTTCAAGAATACACAGCCTGGAGTTCTTCTGAGATTTAAGGACTAGCATCATAACTGCAATTAAATATAAGCCGAATTTTTTTATTTTTTTAAATGAATAGAATCAGAAACTGTCTAAACATTCAAGAGAAGATATGTTACAGTTGTCATGGGAGTTTGTATCTAGGTTTTAATGTGGGAACTTGTGGCTATTCATCGTTGAATCACCCTCACCATTCGACTCGAAAATAATCATTCGATTAAACTCTGATTTGGTTTTACAGGCCTTGTATTTTGATAGTTCTTGCATTGAGTTGACAAATATGCCCTTAAAAATAAGCATTCCCCTTTTTGGCAAATCATATTTGTATAGCAGGCCAATTCATTTAGGTGGCAATACGGCAGAATCTTACGATAAACTTGCAAGATAATTTGGAAGCACATACTGCCATTAGACTTTAATCATGTATCCACAGCCTGTACTTTCAGTTTATTTTCCAAACATGATATGTCTGGTTAACCACCACATCATAACAGGCTGGATAATTGAAATGACAAGAATTAAATAAAAGCTTCTTTTGCTTCCGTGCGAGAAGTCATCTTGGGGCTGATGATGAGGCAAAATTTTGACTCTCAAAGTTCTGATAAGAAAAAACACGATGCAAAGTCCATACCATGCTAAAACACCATAGTAACCATTCGATTTCAACAGAAGTCCAGCAATAAGACTCATTATCATACCAACATATTTATATCCACAGTATGCCAACGTGTCCAGATATTTCAATTCAGTGTTCATATTCATGATATAAACTGCCAAAGTCATGGCTAACACTTCAATAACGATCCAAACTAATGCTGAGCTGGCTTGAATACCTAATTGTTCTGGAGTGAATCTGTCTTGAGTTCCTAAAACTAGTCCTGCAGTTAATAAATAAGTGACGAAAGCCATGACTGGGATATACAGATCGGGAGCATTGTGTTCGTATCTCGGTGCGATGGGTTCGTCTTCGTTGTATCTAATTGACCAATCAGAATGGGTGAAAGGAAATGTGAGTAGTGCTAATTTCTTCCCAACGTAAGCTGTATCTACTGCAAAGTAGTATTTAATCTTAGACGTGCTGACATACTTCTCCAAATTTTTATCCAACAGATCACGGCCCTGGCCAGCCAAGGAGCTTCCGTACTGGACTGCCATATTGGCCATTGGATCATTGATGTATTGTTGTCCTGGAAACTGGGGTTGTGAGGCATAATTTGGGTTCATCATCATTGGATCTGCCATCATGCCAGGTGCCATCTGATCTTGAGGTGGGTAGTTCATGTAGCCTGCTTGTTGTGGAGCCATTCCTTCTTGCATGCTAGTGTCTTCGAATAAATTCGGTCTGTTCTGAGGTTTTCCTGCCTTTTTCTTCTTTCCAGAAGATTGTCGGAATCCTGAAGGAGCGTCCATGTTCGCCGTCTTCGTTTTTATGTTGAAAGAAACACCTAAATTCCTGACTTCAAAACGCCACGTCGCCAAAATCAAACTTCAGCTGGAATCAAAAATGGTCGATGCCGCTTACATCAAAAGCACTTCCGGTGCCTTCGAAATCCTTTTTCGTTTGCAGAATGGCTAATTTTGTACTAATATTGATATTAAAGAGTTATATACAAAGAAATTGACCCACTATTGACAGTTCTGATAAGTAAAACTCCTCCAAACGGTACGCAAACTGTGGCTGAAATTACTGTCATAAGTATCGCTTACGATGTTGAAAATAAAGACGTCCTTAAATGGAGTAGTGTCCCCTTGACCATGACCATTACATTTAAAGTTTAAGCCAGCTGACTTACCACTATAGAGAGCAGACTGAATCTTCTTCATATCTCATTTTAGCTTTATTGTACAATCTATTATTTAGGTATGGGGATTTGTAATATTGCAATAATGCAATCAGATATATGTAAACACAGGCACAGACATTTGTAGGGCCAACATAACCTCTAGTGACTTTATGGATATCCCGAACAGAGTTGTTTGACTTCTACATTTTCTTTTCACCTTTAATTTTATTTTTGTATTTTAGAATCCAATCCTTTTCACAAGTGCTTTTTGCAGATTACAAACAACAAACAGTTAACAAGAGTACATCATATTCTGACTTAACAAGTTTAGGATATAAAATGAAATGTTATATATATCCAACTATTTTGCAATGAAGACACCATGCAGTGTGATAGTTGTCAGGACATTGGCTACCCTTTGTCGATTTGCAACTGTCGATGTATCAAGGCTATAAATGTTATCAAAGCAGTTGTAATGAATAACGGAGATCAAAATTTGGGACTAAAGTAGACAAAAACAACAAAATTTACAAAATCATGAGTTTTATATTATTATTATAGCTAAAACAACAATATGGTTCCCATTACCATGGAAACATTTTCTTATGAAAACAAAAGATTGATAACAAAATGATGACACAAATATGACAAAAAAATAAATTGTATGGTTAACTTTTACCTAATTGCAGACAAATGTTCAATCTCAAGATAGATAATGAAAGCTGAAATTGAACTCTTTGTGCTGGTAAACTCATGTATAAGACATGTCCAAAAGCATTGATTGAACCCATTCCCCCGCCCCCCCAACCCTTTGTGCACTCAAAACTGTAAAACAGTTTCTTAACAATTATTTGGTAGACTAAACCCTTTAAAGTCATCCAGAGAAATATTAATATAAAAAAGATTCTTCCGAAGTCGACAGTCAAAATTTCTTTCACCAGGTCTTATTTTGGACTATTTTGTACTAGCACCATTTTTGAAATCTGTGATATTCATCCTCTTCTTTTCTGTGTACTGATATACAACACTGGAATAAAACAAGAACAATTTCAGAAATGAGTGTTCTTCCATAGCTAGGACCCTTTAATCTGATTGTTTCCAGCCTTATTATATGTATTGGGCAATTTATGGGCTTTAATTCTAACGATTTTCACAATAGCTAAGTCATAAAACAATTACTTTTAGTGGAATTGTAAAAGACACAGACGTCTGACTGAAAATTGGAATGATCTAACTTGATACACACAGATATTAAAATTTTTTCATAAAGACAGGATTTAACCATTTCTTTGCAAAATTCATCAAAACCGCTAAAAATACCCACCATTATTGCCTCTAATGAAGGCATCACCATATTTATTTTTGAGTTGCCCATTGACATACTCTTCTGTTTGCTCTAGAGCTATATTCATATACCCATCTAGACACGCCAAGACTCCTATAATATCAAAATATATAACGCCATGAAAAATCAAAAGAATTGGAATGAAAGTGATGCTATTCTGAATTAAGTCATGCTTAGAACAAGCTCAATGCTGATCCCAGGTGACAAAAAGGTTTGTGCAGTAAATCCCCGTAAACAAGACTTGGTTTTTCTGATCATATTCCCACAGACAACTGTCAAAATAGCTGCCAGACACTGGAATAGAGGCAGATAGACGACCTACCTCTATAATCTACCCCAGAATTCAGTTTCACTACCACTGGTCTGCCGATAATCTGTTTTAAAAAGTCACTGGGTGTTTGTTTATTACTCATCTTGGATTATATCTGAAATAAACAGAAACTATCAAATAGAATGAATTCTCAATCAAAGATCAAACAGGACTATCAAAAGTCTAACTTAATGAAGTGTAGACTAATGCCAATGGTACACGACTTTCACAGTGGCGTATTTAGGTGGTAATTTTTGTGCCATACTTCCTCCCCATATTTCAAAGAGACAATAAAAATCATCATGCCACCATTTCTTTTTCGGGATTTGATATAAGAAACGTTGTCGTACATTTTGTATTAAAGAAATTCAAATTACGTTCACTTTAAATTTCTCAGTCCGCCATAACCATACCAAATCTCGCGATATTGGTTGATATTCGTGGTCGTCCAGACGGATTTTTATTGAAGTTTTCCTCAGAGAACTGGGAGAGCGAGTCAATGAACACGTGATATTTCTCACGATATTCAAGATGTCAGCCTCCATAAACGTAAACACAACAAATGTGATGTTTAGAAAATCCTGTTTATTTGAAGCTTTCAAACAGAAATTTAAATCAAACGCCAATTCAAACACAATTCTAAGGACAATCTCCCAAAACCAGAAGTTTTGTCATGAGTCAAATTTGATCTCAAATGATAGAGCTAAAATTCGACCTTTGCACAACAATTTTGTACAGTTTAGTGTAAGCAGACGATGCGTTTCATTTACCAACACAGACTTGTCATATTATGCAAGCAATCCAATATTTAAACATAGAGAATACCTGTTAAATCAGCCAAATGATTTAAACAAATCCCAAATTCGTGACTTTCACTCTACATGGGTCAGTTTGCACAAGGTCAATGTCAGGGAGTGCTGGAAATGTGGGAGACAGATGACCGACCCAGCAGAGCTGTTTTATTGTAAATGTGGGATTGTGCAGAAACCAGCTTCAAATTTAACTTATTTCCAATTATTTGGGCTGAATGAAGATTTTGATGTTGATTTGAAACCTCTGTCTGAGAAATATATTGAGCTACAGAAGCAACTTCACCCTGATAAATTCAGTCAGGCTTCAGAGGTAGGCGTTATACTCCCCCTCCCCCTCTTCTTTCTCTCCTGTAGTTGTTAGATCTTGGGGTATGACATAGCCTACTCAATAAGATGCTGAAGTCCTTTCATTTACCAAATAATGACAAAATGGGTTTAATCTCTGGATGTTAGTTAATTATACGAAAATCAAATAGCCTACATTTTCCTGTGTGGGTCATTATGTATGTGTCATATCAGCTAGGGGTTGCCATGACCCTTCAGATTTTCCTGAAAGAATTCTAAAAGTAACCTGTGCATAAATGCAGAAGTTTTGCCAAGTTACAACTAAAAATTTACAATAGATATGGCTGTAGACACATTAAGGCTGGTTCAATTCCTGCAGTTGGCTTATTCATCAATAAAAAAAACTTTCTAAGACATTTAATACTGTTTGACTTTGATATTTCAACAGCTTTTAGTAAGATTGGACATTTCAAATTATAAAACATAATCTTCTCAATTTATTGGTTTCAATTCTTGTGAATTTTTATTTTTCAGACAGAAAAGAGCCACGCTGCAGATCAATCTTCACTGGTTAACAAAGCCTACTCAGTTCTTACGAAACCTCTACATAGAGCTATATATATGTTAGAACTGCATGATAATCCCATAGAGGAATCTAGCGCCATATCGGACCCAGAATTCCTGATGGAAATCATGGAATTGAATGAAGAATTGGCAGAAGTTGATTCGCCAGAAGATTTGAAGATTTTTGAAGAACAAAATGAAAGTAACATTGTGAAAAATATTCAGGAAATATCTGCAGCCTTTAAAAGTAAAAATATTCCGTCTGCCCATGAATTGGCAATAAAATTACAGTATTATTCTAATATTAGTGAGAAAATCAAAGACTTAAAAAGAAGTTGGATCAAATAAGATATTATATAATAATAACAAAAAACACAAGGGGATATATTGTGGTATAACATTGATACGTCAATTCTGTTATTAAAGAAGTTTGTTATAACATAATATATTTCCTTGTGTTTTTTATATGTTATATGTGCTCTCGGCTTCTAAATGTCATTCAAATCTGATATAATAATATTTATTATTTTATTAGTTTTAATCAACAGTCAATGATTCAGGTATTGTATCCCGAATACCGGCTTCTACATAATCAAGAAAGTATGACAAGTGGGCTTGTGATTTGGACACGTAGTGAAGATAGCTTTAGAAGCAGGAAGGGGTTTGATTGTTTGGGGGCTGTGACTGGGTAAAATTCAATCTAATTAATATTAAGTTACAATTTCAAATCTTTTCTGTTTGCTGATATTTTTTGTCTACATTGTGATCTGAATAGATTTCTACCAAATGTCTGTTCCAAAGGTAGTATTTTCAACCAATCTAAGCATGCCATGTAAAACTCGTTTCTTGATAAAATAAAGAATTGTGAGATAGCAAAAGAGGCTAGAGGCTGTCGTATTGCTCTACTTAAGGTTTTGTTATCTCACAATTCCTTATTTTATGATGAAACAGATTCTATATGACACACTTTGATTCGGGAAAGACATTTATTAAAAATCTTGTAAGATTACAATGTAGACTATGTACCAGAAAATGAAAAAGTTACGAAATTATAATTTAATTTTGATTATATTGGGTTAAAAAATTGGGCAGGGCAATATTATAAATGAATTATGAGGGACAGAAAATATGATGATTACCACTGGCCATAATTATGCACTATATAAGTACTGCCACTATCATAGCTAGTTGAACACAATAATTTGTATGCTGCCCTGTCAACCATATACAAGATGAATATCGATTTTTAAGTTATTATTTTAGAACTTTTTTTTGGGTATTGGGGACACTGATAGCATCAATTTGTAGTGTTGTACCATTCCAATTCTCAGTCAGACGTCTGTAGTTCGTGCAATTCCACTTAAGACTTAGCGTAAGGTTTTATAAGAGAAACTCTCTTATAGAAGCACTGGCCTAGCTCACTAGTAGACGACGTCTCCAATAGCAAAGTTTCAAGCACTTAGTTTTATGGAAATTGCAGGAACCACAGATGCCTGATTGAAAATTGGAATGGTGCAAATTGATGCTATCAGTGTCACACATAAAAAATTTCAATCTCTTTAATGAAATTTCTAACCATTGTGCCTAAGCCTCCTACAGGATAAATCCAAATATCTTCCGATGGCCAGATGCCAGGTATGACATTATTATCTGATTTGGATGTGAAATCAAAATAGTACAAATACAAACTTGTTTTTTTTAGTCTCTACTTATGCTCTACAGATATGTTCTTATAGTGCCTGAATGTAAATTTTGCTGTGCAATGTCAATGATATTAGATATACTCATTCAAACCTTTGTTGGAATTGAGGAGATTGGGGTTTTCACCATTCCCCCCTTCCCTCCTTTCCTCCTCTTATTATAAACAGATGTATTGTATTTTTATAAAAAAATTACATAAATGATTCTTCTTTAATATGAAATTTTTTAATTAATATTTCCCAGTTCCAGATAATATCAATTATATTTGTTTAATGTATTAGATTCTGTTTATTAACATAGCATACAAGTTGATAAGAGCAATTTTAAAACATTAAACATGGGGTAATGTCCCTTTATGGTTTCTTACTGACGGTAACTGATGATTTTAAATGTGGTCTGGAAGAGTTCTAGTTTTAATATTGGGAACATGTGATACACTGTTCGCGCTCTTTTCCGGCCATGCTTGCAAAATGGCTAAGATATTTGGGGAAAGATCATTGCCAGGAGGTTTGGTCATTGACCAACTGGTAGACAAGATCCTTGACATACGAAACTTACGCGAAATGTTCCATGTAAGAACACATGTGTTGGCAGGAAAGTCGTTGATGAAGTATTTGGGATTTTACATGTCGACTGACATGGAACATTTTATTTAAGAACAATTTCGTATGTCAAGGATCCTGTCCCGAGCGGGCCGTTCTGGAAGGTTGGGATGGTCAACGGACGTGCATCTTACCATGGAATAGGGCTTTTCCCAGATCTGATCTGTACCCATGACCAGGCCCGTAGCCTCTCCCGAAAAATGGATTGCCCCTCACAATCGACCATTCTCACAACCGACCAATTTCGATACTTTCACTGACCACCATACCCCATTGCTCCTCTGGATATATTACTTGCCCCTCCAAACAATCAAGTCTGACTACGAGCCTGCCGAGACCAATCTAAACGGCCCACCATGAAATTTCCTCTAATCTAAACGACCCACCATGAAAGTTCTACTAATCTAAACGACCCACCACGAAAGTTCCACTAATCTAAACGACGTACCCACCATGAAAGTTCTACTAATCTAAACGACCAACCCAACTTGAAAGTTCATCTTTGCATTACGGAGAGTTGCCGAATGGTTCCGTCGATTTAAGATTTGTATGGCATTTAACACTTATCTAGGATCTACCAAGAACCAGGGGCTTACCGTATCTAGAAAATGTCTGAGGAGGGGACCAAACATGAGAGGTGTCTCTCCGAAGCTCCAATAAAGCCCCTTAAAGCCTGGAGGAGGCCCCGGGAGGGGGTCGGGGATGCCAGACGGATTTTAGATGGCCTGAGATGAATTTTGAGCATTTAGATGGCTTGATTTTCTCTTCAAAATAAGATCTTATATATACCCGGCCCAATTCCACGACTCCCACCCCCCCCCCCCCCACCGCCCTCACCTCCCAAATACACTGCAGCCAAGGACCCATCAGGGTGCTAGAATTAATGGATGATGAAAGTGACCATTGGTAAGGCCACTGGATTTGGGCTGGATGGACACCAGTTCAATGAAATTATCATTTTTAAAAGGTATACTACCTCTAAGAAGTGTTTTTCAATATTCCGTTATTATTTAGTTTAATGGAAATATATCATGTTATATAGAGATTCTATTCTTTAGTCACGACACCTGATTCAACTAATGAATATATACTCTTATTGACCAAGTTTCAGACATGAGATACTATACTTCTAGCCCATACCCTTAGTCCTAATAAAGTGTCTGCTCCACCCTAGGCCTGTACATTTGGGAGAATCAAACCCTCCCTTCCCCGAAATCCAATATATAAAGACAATAAACTAGTGCAACTACACCCCTCCCTCTCCCCCCCCCCCCCCCCCCCTGTCTCCTTTAATTGTTCAATAGAAAGTACTTTGTGTTCCCAGGTCCGTAGCCAGACTGGATTGTTAGAGAGGGGGGGGGGGGGGGAGTAATATATCTGGTGAGGCAGTGTAAGTAAGAAATAGTAGGTTAAGCAATCGCCACTGACCCTGCCTCTATAAATATATTTCTACACGAGGTCGAGAATAATGTTGGATTCTTAGAATGATAATAAAATGTTGACAATGTACTAAGGAGACGCCTACGCAGAAGTCGTTATTAATTTGGCACCGTGCAAGAATCGCTACCATTCATAAGAAAATAGGCTAAGTTATATAACCTAAAACTCAGAATGATTTATTTTCAAACATCGGTTTACAAAACAAAGCCAAACATCTTTTAACACAATGTACTTTTAAATTTACCAAAAATCATCAAAAATCACAAAAATGTCAAAATCAAGAATATTCCAAGTAAATTCTTTAAATCAATGAATAAAATGCGACAATTTGTTGTGAAAATTAAAGCGAATTCTCTTTGCCCATGTAATCAAGATGGTGGCTAGCTCCGTGTGAAATATTTCAACCAATCAGAATCAAGTGTTGTTTACGTCTGTACTCCGCTAGCTTACAATTCCATTAATTAAGTCGACTTATTTTACATTTTATCGAACTTTTCTACAATATTTAAACATTGTTTATCAGTTTTACATTGGGAGTTTTGTTTATGGATGTATCAAGTTCATTTTGGAGTCGACAAATCCAGGAAATAAGTTCGTCTGACACAGAAATCGCGGAATAAGAATGAGAAAATCTTGATTCAGAAGTTCAAGGCTGTTTAAAATTGCTGTTGTTTTTCTATGAATTGCAAAGAATTGACATTGTTTGGATGTACAAATGAGGAATATATTGGAATGAATTTAACGCCAATATGTGATCAAAACATTCTACGAACATGTAACTGTCTAAATTTATCAATATTTAGACATAAACAGTATTTGAAAATGTTGAAAATGCTGCCATAAATTTGTTTTTGTTGGCAAGTTGTGGCTGTTTGATTTGACAGATTTGAGACAAACCTTTCATGGATAATGTATAATTAAAGGTGAAGCCTTGAAATTACACTGAAATCTGATAAATTTACTAAACCACTATTTTTGTTTTATTGATTTTATCGGTGTAAATAATTGGATTAATTTATTACAATGGAAGAAACCACAGCACTTTTTAAACGTTTGGTGATATTTTTATGGATATATTTATTGCTATTTGGTGTGGATTATGGGCAAGGAAAAGAAGTTGGTAAGTGTCAAGTTAACCTTATTTTTATTGCCAGTTGTCACTGGCTTCACCTTTGACCTATGTCACCTAAATGACAAATCATGATTTTGAGTTAACTGACTGAGTTTCATTGCTTTTCTTGTCCTTTTAATACCCTCTCCCTAGCTGCAACTTTTCCATGAAGTTTTCTGCAGGTCTCTGTAGTCTTGATTAAGATACAGAACTTAAAAGCAATATTTTTTTTTTGCAATTTTCTAAAATCTTGGTCTTTGACTAATCTCTAATCTCTATGATTTAAAGCATTAAATATTTGATGTCATTTGAACAAATGGTGGTCATTGGTTCTAATCTCAGTCAGTCTGTGAAAGTCATCAATGAATAATTAGAAACTGTTTCTTTTCATCGCCCCTTATTATGTGGCCTAATTTTAAAAAAGAAAGGGGGGATTTTGGGGATGTGGAAAGGGACAAAATGGGTAAGGGGTGACCTTG